AGTGGGGCCGTGAGGGGACTTGGTGGTGTCTGAGGGGACTTTGGGGGGCACATTGTAAGAAGAAGCGGGGGGAATGTGCTGGGGAGCGAGGAAAATACGGGAGGTGGTGGAGAAGAGGATTTGGGGTGTAGTGGCGGAGGGCAGAGGAAGGCTGGGGGGGGGGGTGGAGAAGGAGCGCTTGTTGCGGTATCTAGAGCGGGGAGCAGGGGGGGATCGTGGAGAGCTGAGTCGGAGGCTGTGGGAACGTGGGCTCTGAGGAGTGGTGAGCTTCGAGGGTTTCCTTTCTCTTTTTTCCTTTTTTTTCTAATTGTTCCTGTACGAGTTTTAGTGGGATTACATTTAATACCTAAAAGTGGGTCAGGGTTCTTCTAAACTCTTAAGCAGTCTTTTGCTCTCAAAACTTGTGTGGAAATTACTCTTAAAACTAATCGTTAATTAGCTGATTTACCAGCATGCTTGAGTTCTACCAAACATGTGGCCTAAGAGACAGCACCCCACTGTACTTCCTTGTGCTCAGTGAGTCAATGTTAGGCAGTGGGGTTTGTTAACTTCAAAAAAAGATGTTCATTTTGCTCTTCTTTTTTTAATAACTCTAAACATTTGGCAGCTTTAGAGGGACTTGGACGCTGTTACTAAGAAAAGCAGTTAGATTGTATGTACATTGACATTTCTAAACTGAAACTGGCCTATTTTCTAGAGCAAGTCCTTCAGGCAAAATAATTGTTGCAGCACAAGGGTAAAGAACACATCTCTCCATAGAGAAAGCAAGACATGTACTTCCATCTCCAGACTTTTGCCAGGTGATGGTCCTGTGGGTGTCAGAATGAAGAGGTGCCATTTTTACATCTGCAGAGCATGGAAGGGACAGAAACGGGTCACTGGTCCAGGGGCTGTGTGGTTTAGTGCAGACTTGTGAATTTAGCAGTCCTGATTCATGGAAAGGGAACTTGTGGTTTCTTTTTTCCACATCATCCTCTGTTTTTACTCTTTCATCAGCAGAGTGGTGTCAAAACAAGGATGCTTTATCTTGCTGGTATTTAGAACTTGGATTTGAAATTTTGATAGGACTAGGGGTGGAAGTTACCTCTGTAATTGTGGATAGGGTAAGTAAAAGCCCTAGCAGTGACAGACACAGAAACTCAATTTTGCCAAAGGAAAGAATCCTTACAGGAAAGGAAGTTTGGTTTGGTTCCTGTGCTTTTACCTTCACTGGCATCAGTGAGAGTTATTGCTTGTGTGCCTGTTTAGGTTGGAAAAAGCATCAAGGAAAAGAGGGGGCTATTTCTTGCTGAAATGGCCAGGGTTTTTTTTCAGTGTAGCAAATATGTTGCTTTCAGTGTTGGCTGAGATTTCATCACCATTCTCCTTTGTTCCAGGACACTAGCAGGAGATACGAAAACAAAGCTGGAAGTTTCATTACTGGAATAGATGTAACTTCCAAGGTAATTTTTGTGCTTTCATTTTTTGACATATTCTAATTATTGCTACTGGAAAGGAGGAACCATTTCATTTATTTCTTCCCTACCAGACACAAAAGCTTAGTCTCATGTTCAGATAGCTGGCATTCTTCAACAGCTAGGGAATTCTTTTGCTGGTTGTGGTCTGCACCAAGAGCTGACTGATCTCTCTTGTGAACTGTGAGAATTAGTATTTTTAAGTTACAAAAATCTGTGTGCCAAAACCTGAAAACGTTTCTGTTGGAATTGCCTTGGTGCCTCTTGAAATTGCAAAACAAAGCTCCTTGGGACAGATCAGCTGCAGGTTTTCCTCTTAGGTGAGTGACAGAAGAACAAGTGCTTGGCAGGAAAATCAAGTTTCCTTGCCTTGTAGCTTCCAAGGGCATTGTGTTGTTTAATTATTTAAAACATAGTTTGAAGAATGTGAACAGCTGTTGCATTTAAATAACTTAAAGTTACATTGGAAGTTCCCCTAGTCAGGGGGCAGCTGGTACCTTTTGTTCTTTCAGGGTGCAACTCTAAAAAAACTTGAAGATAATGTGATCAGAGATGTTTGGGTAATATTTAAAAACTAGTAAAAAGCCCATGTTTATTTGGATGTCATTGGTGGCAGTTTTTGCTTAATCAGTTGGTGTTTTGGATAGTAGAATCCAAAACTCTAAAGTGTTTGCTGCAGAATAAGGAGCTTCTCAGTCACCTGCAAAACTTGCATAAGATCCACGTAAGCTGTTGCTCATGAGCTACTTAAAAGCAGCTTGAATTTCCAGTCTAAATAAGACCTCCAGTCAGCACTCCAGCTACCATGGTTAAATTCAGGCTCAGAGACAAGTTTACAGTTTTGTACACATTTAAAAAACAGACAGGGAAAAATCTCTGTAATCCCAAAAGATTAATTTACTGTCTGCTGGAAGTGCTTGGTTTAGGACAGCCTCTTTTGAGTGCAGCCTCTGTACATTTGTTAGGAAGGAAAAGATGTTACTGTTCCATCATGGAGTCTGAGCATTGTTCAGGAAACCTTGTTTTCTATGCACCTTGATATCAATTATGTTGCTGGACCCAAATTAAAACCATTACATAGTGCAGAAGCATTTTAGTGAATTATTTCTACATTCTGAAGCTCACGGATCTCTTCAGAATTGATAGACTTATTAATATAGGTTGTTGCTGCCTCATAGATTTTAAGGTTTTCTTTTAAATGTCTTGTCCTCCAGTGGAGGTTGTTGGGAATGCTGCTGTGATTCCTGTTTTGACTGCCTTGTTTTGCAGGAAGCAATTGAGAAGAAGGAACAAAGAGCAAAGCGCTTTCATTTTCGAGCTGAAGTGAATCTTGCCCAAAGGAACGTGGCACTGGATCGGGACATGATGAAGAAAGGTAGGAGTTTATCCAGCAGTCAAGAGGAGAAGATCCTTTGTTTACTTCCTCACAGCTCCTTTACATGATTTACCCTGTTATATTTCATGCATCACAAGAGGTTTTCTCAGATTGTTGCCAAAAAGAAATTACTTTGGGTGGGTTTTTTTTCACATTTTTATTTTGTCATTATTTTTTTAAACTGCTTGACAATTATCAGTTTGCCCATTTTGTCAGCCCCACAATTTTTTTATCCCTTATTTATGGTTTCTCAACAGCCCATAGTGCTACATGTCCAAGATTCATTTTCAGGATCAATGCTGCTTTAGGAATCTTTAAATTCTTTAAAAAGCCCAGACTTGGAGCACTGTTTGTGTCCAAATGGGGGCCTCTGTGTCCTGTGCACAGTGAGATCAGATTCTGTGCTGTGCACACAGAGACACTGGACTGATAGTGCATGTGCTTAAAATGTTTTTAAGGCAGTTTGATTGCTATGCAGTACCTACATCTACCAATGCTTGTAGTGTTGCCTCTTTAATTCTCAATTTATTAAAGTTTTGCATTGTGGAATAATAATTGAAATTATGGTGTTTAGAGTGGTGTACATCATACATTGCTTTAATTAGCTTCCCTTTTGCTTAGCTAAAATGTTTGGTTTATAAAACCATCTGTTACTAATATAAAAACTTGGTCTACAGAAATAAGTTTTGTATCTCTTCTTCTTTATAGCAATTCCTAAAGTGAGACTGGACACAATTTACATTTGTGGGGTGGATGAGATGAGTACACAAGACATCTTTGCCTATTTCAAAGAGTATCCTCCTGCTCATATTGAGTGGTTGGATGATACATCATGTAAGTAAATGGAGTCTTTTGTCTGTCTTTCTTGATTCTTATTGGTCATAGCTGTACTTCAGATGTCTTATTGGTTTTCAAAGCCACTGGTCTGTGTGTCTCTCAGTTTCCCTGTCATTTGCCTTGGTTAGGAGGGATTTAAAAGGGAAGAATTAATAGCATATGTTGAAAATCAAACCTACTATCTGGTTGAGCATTTATTGGAAAGACATAGTGTAGAAGAACTTGCAGGTCTCTAAGTAAGGGGGGAAAAAAAACTTCTAATATTTTGTGCTGCTTGCATCTTAACATCAATAGAATACCTGCTTGTGAGCATCACAGAAGAGGACATGCTGAGAGAAGATGACTGAGCTGTGTGCAGTCAGGCAGGTTGGGAGGGGTTTGTGGTGCAAAGGAGCAGCCTTGCTGCTGTGTTTGTTCAGTGGCTTCTCAAGGAGAAATTCGTGGGTGGAAGAAGGTAGGAGCTGAATGTGATTTACATAGATTGGGAAAGGAATGTAAGTTCCCATTGCAGGGGCTGTTTCTGGGAGTAAGCAGGCAGTGAGATTGCCAGAAAGATACCAGGTGCACAGTTGTGCTTTCTTTGGTGATACTGAAGTCTGTGTGAGTGCTCTTTGCTGCAGATGGGTGCTGGATCAAGGAACTGGAAGGCTCTGAGATGGTCAAACTGAAATCACAGCAACAGAAGTAGGAAACAGTGCTGGTTTTCCAACTGGGCTGGAATTGCTGGAAACTGGTTTATTGCCAAGCATGGCAAAGACCTGTGAATTAGTAGCATGGTTCCCTGGAATGACCCTGAAAGAATTCTGTTCCAGTGCAAGATAAAAGTTAGGTTATACTACAAAACATTGGTAGCCTTGAAGTCACTCTGTGTGACAGCTTGATAGATTGCCACAAGCTGACAGAAAATCTGAAAAACCACAAGCCCTGGGTGGACAGCTCTGGTAAAAAGCTGCTGGATGAACCTGGGGTGATGCATAAGCAAGTGCACAGCTTAACTCTGTGTCTGAGGCTGCATTTCTGAGGTACTCAGATTATCCCTTTCCTTAAATGTTACACGAGTAAATTCAGCATGGAATCAGAGTGGACTTAGAACACAAAAATACAGGCTTCAGGGTTGTAACAATATTTTACCCATTTATTGTTACACCACATCTTTTTTAGAGATGAGTTTTCATGCTGTATCTGAGGTAGCACACCAGCTACCCTTTGGGAAAATATAATGAAAAATCTTTTCCACACAGGTTTGCACTGCAGCATGGCAAAAATTTTAACCTTCCCCCCTGAATTACACCTCAAGGTGTCTTAGTGCAGAGGTGAATTTAGACAGTGTTCTGTGTTTGAAACTGGTGAATATAGAATGATAAAGGCTTTGAAAATTTGGAGCTGTGAAGAGCAGGTGGGCATACAAAAAATGAAAAAGATTTGGTCAGTCATTGGAGTTAGTATCTGGCTGTTCTTCACCTTGTAAATCTCATCTGTTCAAGTAATTTAAGAGAGAATATTTTCTTTTGGGACCCTTTATATTTTTTTTCTGATATCTGAATACACTTTGCTTAACAGCAGAGCAGTAAATGACATTCATTGCTGCACTGGCACTGAATGCATCCGTGCAGAAAGCTTTTGTTCAAAACCTGTTTCTAAGCAGTTTTAGCTCTTTCAATTTTGACATCATGAAATGCTTTTCATTGGCCTGATAAGTTATATTTCAATACCATCTGCTGATACATAAGACATATATGAGGCATATACTGAATCATATTGCTAACCTGTGTACACTGTAATCTGTGCAAAGTTCTTGAACAGTCTCTCCTATTTTCCCCTGTTTTCCTGCTTTTTGGAAAAGATTAACAGACTTCTGCAGTAAAGCCCAAAGTTCTGTTAAATTGCCAAAGGGGAAAAAAAAATTCAAGGCTTCTTTCTTTGCCTCTCCATCCCTATCCTGCCCCCTTAATCACACTTGTGTACCAAAACATGTATGAAACACACTGACCCTGATTCAGTATCCTAATTTGCTGTGCTCAGGAAGCCATCTCTAACATAGATGCTGCTGCATTTTGGTGATTTGGGTTTTGATACATTGTTGGGTAGGGTTTTTTTGCCATGTGATGAAAGTTGTGTGTCCTACAGTGTATCAAGTGCATTCAAAATATGACTTTCCCTGCAAGAGGAATACCTGACTGCTTTTTGTCACCTCACCAGCACTGTTTCTGAACTTGTGGTAGTGATTTCCCTCCAGTGAGGCAGTGTACGTGAGTGCTTGACTATACAAACTGCATTCTGGTTTTGTGTGTGTTTATATATGTCACAGGTAATGTGGTCTGGCTTGATGAAGTAACAGCAACACGGGCTCTAATAAATATGAGTTCCTTGCCTGATCAGGAGAAGACAAAAAGCAGAGAAAATAATGAAGAGAAGACAGCTGAAAAAACCAAGAAAGGTAGATTGAGATGTGCATATATAGATGTCATCTAGTTAAATCAATGAAGCTTTAAACTTGTGCTTGGGTACTGCATAATCTAAATTACTGAAGGAGCTTCTATCATATAGTTTCAGGTAAATGTATTCTGCCACTTTAAAAAAGGCTTTCATCTTGGAAACCTTTTGAAGAAGCTGCTTCTTAAAAGGTGGGTTGGAGCTAGACCAAAAGCAGTAATTCAGTTGATACTGAACATGTTAGATGCAGGGTCCTATTCAGATATGATATTTTTAGCAGTACATGTTGCACAGAAATAAGTCTGTGTGATATGTGTACAAAAGCAGGAAAAAGATTGATTCTAAGTGTGGAAAAAGCAGGTGTAAGGAAAATGTCCTATTTTTGAAATACCACAGTTGATTCCTTTCTTGATGCAGCACCATCCTTTAATTGTTGTTCACACTGCTGGGACATTGTGTCACTCCACTGCTGTATATCACCTCTAAATTTCCTCATTATGCTTTAAAGAAATGCACTGAGAGGTCAGTTATAAAAGAGAAGAGCAGCAGAAGTACCTCTTAATATTGTGATAAATCTGGTCCCTGAATGCCTTTGTTGTAAATTATTTTACTTTTATGGGTGTAAGTTAAAAATCAGACTGTTTTACCTTTAGGTTGGTGTGGTGAGGTGCTGTGGTTCAAAGTACTGCACCACAAGGCACAGAGCAAAGAGAGCTGCTGGATTTATTAACTCTTCCAAAGATTGTGTTTAAACGTGCTGTACAAACAAAATGCAAATAGCCAAGTGCTACCAGAAGCCTTTCTAGAAAGTTTTGGGGTTTAGGGCATTGTCAAACTTGTGGATCCTTCTAACTCATCCCCTTTTCTT